ACTATAACCAAATCTTGGTTATTATAACTAAACCTTTTTCTGAGTGTGACGTAGGTATCCGTTTAGGGGAAAATGTGCTGGTTTTTTTATCGACATGTTTTGTGTCATTCTTGCGCATTGTTCGACTGAATATTACACCATGGGAAAGTTTGCCAAAGTCTGTGCTACCAATTTTCGGAAAAAAAAAGTAAAAACACATTAACAAGTCATAAATATTTGCTGTCAAAGATCTGCATCACAATATACACTGCCGGAACAAAGTATGGGCACAGCAAATTCTTCACAATATATGCAAAAAGTTTTATTCTAATATTTTTCCACCAATTTTGTATAAAAATATGGTTCATTCAACAACAAAAAACATAAAAATATAATTCCTAAACTTTGCACAAAACTCACGAAAATTCAGATCTTTTAGATTTTTTAGAGTTTTTGTGGGTATGCAGTTTTGCAGCCCATTAAATTCTAGTAAAAAAAAGTGCATGTGCGGAGTTAGTCAAAAATCGCGTTGATTTTTGAGAATTTTATTTTTTGTTTAAGGTGTTTTACATTTTTTCCATATAAATTATTTGCGAAAAAAAATTTTTGTATGAAAGAGACTGCGTGAAAAAAAATTGCCAAAAGTCAACAGTAATTTCTAGCTACTTAAAGCTTGCACTTTATTATAATAAAATTGAATGGGCTACAAATCTGCATACTCAAAAAAAATTCTAGAAAGTCTGATTAAAAAGTTGAAAATTTTCATAAAAATTTGCGGAATTTTCGCGAGAGTGCACAAAGTTTAGGAATTGTAGAATGAACCATATTTTTATACTAAATTAGCGGAAAAATATAAGAATGAAAATTGTATATAAACTTATGCATTCGCACAGAAGACAATTAGAGAAGCTCTTTTTACAATCCTTCTTGGGTAAGCCACTTAAAATTACTTCTGTATGGAGCTTTTTTGATGTAGTAACTAAGAGCAGGCAAACACACACATACGCTTTACAAAGAAGTGTATTTTTTTATGAATTAAAAAATCAGCTTTAAGAAAACCCCGAAAGGCTGCCCGACGGAAAGAAAAACTGTGAGTGTTCAAATAAATCGTTGCAGCAAAATCGCATAAATGTGTAGCTGTTAATTTAAAACTGTGCTAGGCATTAGTTTTGTATTGAAACCTTGAGTCAAACGGCTAGGCTGGTAAAAGTTCTGAGAAGAACCAAAACGCAAAGCTGCGATCACTCATGAGGCCTGATGGCTCTTTAACGGCGACCGTTCTTCTAGAAACTCTTTTTCCTGGAAATCAGGTGATGGTTACGCCTTCCCCTCGCTTGACTGGTGAGGCAGGGTATGCCAGAACCACAGTGTCAAGGTACATCTGCTGGTTTGTTGCCGGAACTGTGGCTAAGGAAGATGCCATAAGATATGCATCCTAGCTATTGTACTTAAAAAAGGTGTTGAGATTTAGTTAGCGCCCTTGAAAATGATTTTTACAGTTTCTCTTGCACTTGCCTACCAAAACCTTGGAATCTGGTTGATGTCGCCTTTGTACTTACCCTAAGGTTGAAAAGGATGATTATAATAGCCCCAGAAGCTAAAAGCCTATTAGCATGACATACTCTATGCTAAGATGTCTGCAAAGATTGGCACTCGTAGGGAGGCGCTCACATCACATCTTCTTATCTTATAATATCAACATGCCTGCAGGCGGGAAATCCTGTGTGACGGATTTGCAAAATCTGGTTGCCAGAATTAGCAATGCCAGAATTCGCCTTGGGCATATTTGTAGACATTGAGGGTGCTTTTGACAATGCCACCTTCGATAGAATGTGCATTTCTGCTCTACGGCATGTAGTACATTGTGTACTGGTAAATTGGATCCGTTCTATTCTGGCGCAGCCTGTCATCACAATTCAGGCAGAAGGAGGTCGATATGACGCATACATACATATTTTAGTTATAGGAAATATGCAAAATATATACAAAAATATGCAAAATATATACAAAAATATGCAAATATTCAAAATCATGCAAAATGTGTGAAAATATACAAAACATAATAGTTAGTACCAAATTAACTCACATTTCTACCAAGGTCTGGACTTTCAGTTAATGTTGATTCTGTTGATGTTAAACAAAAATATGCACTTGCATAAATATCCGAGCACCACATATCACTTTCTAATACAAATACTCGATAACTATTCACAAAACACCTGACCAAATTGCCACGAAAATTTTAAAACAAAACAATTTGGCTTGGACGGACTATCAAAATACACACTTATTACTTGCTCTGTTGTATACAAATATTTCACGGATTTATTCGCATTTAAAACACTAACAAGCAAAAGAGCACAGCACAATAACAATCTTTTAGCACTTTACACTATTTAAACCAATAATTATCGCACGGAAATTCACATAATTCTAGTAAAAACTAACGTACCGGAAGCCATGCTGTATTTTCTGCAAGGGTCGGCAACGCAGTGCCGTCGCAGTTCCTTTGATTTTCTTGGCGCTACTGCTCTAACTTCGAATTCGGAAACAGCTGTTCGGAGTATCTTTTGACAGTTGGCTAACCGCCTGCAGCCGCATTCCCAATCGGTTGCTTATGATTTTGTAATTCTCAATTTTCTTAATTAAACTTTTTATAAAAATTTTGCCAATATGCCTTTCATGAAAGGACGCGCGCCTATTAGGCGTACCATTGATTATTTGAATGCAGGCCGCCTTGTACTGAAAGATAAAGTGAAAATTTTTAGCGTGAACTACAATGTATACGGTGACCACCACAGTGGAGCCAGGTAAGACCCAATAAAGTGGCATTAAAAGTATGTAACTAATCCTGTGTATATGCTTACAGAGATTTCG